TCCATCAGTTAATGATTCGAACATTTTAGAGGATTAAGGTAGATAATAAGAAGAAAATACAACATTAATTAAGAGAAAAAGCTACACCATAATCAAAAAATAATTATACGAAAGATCGGAGTAACAAGCTCCAATCATACACTTGCCAAAATAATTATCCTACAAAATGTGATTCATCTCCCTTAGTACCAACTAATATATCTCTCCTTAATACACTGCATCGTGTTACTCGATTTTGGTCTTCCAACTTTCTAACGATGATAAACCCTATGCGATCATCTTCCTCATCTTTACTCCGTTAATTACCTTTAGCGTTCTATATACCGTGAGATCAATCACCTACAATCAAATCATGTTGATGAACCTTGAAATTTGTGCTTCAAATTTCATCACTTAGAAAGCCGACATCTTACAACTCCGACGATGTCATAAACAAGAAACTCCTACTACTCTCAAACGTTCTCTCCGAAATTTGTTCCCCTTTTTATATTGCTCTAGCTTTAGTCTATTTTGGTTTCGCTTATGGCTTCGTCTCCATTTCCATGCACAATCGATGTCAAATGGACTTCGTTTTTTCAGGTTTATTTTGTCTAAAGGAAATTTACCTTCAACTTTGTGTTTATTGATTCTATTTAACCGATAGATTAGTATGCGAGTGTGCATCATTCGTCGGAACACGACTATGCGACGAACGGAAATGCGACAGTGGTTCTTCAGCCGACGACAACAGCTCAACAAACCGTCCAAGTCACAATCGCCTTTGGAGATCGTGTCTAAGGAAGAGGTTTGGTGAGAAGGGAGACGAAAATATGGAAGGATAAATAAAGTTAGTATATATAATTAAGAAGATAGAGGGAGGTTAAGATACGGTCTCGAATGCTGTTATTAATTAATAATATATGATATATAGCTCTCCGTGGAAAAAAGGTGTTGGACGAAATGTTTCGCTTGTTTTTCCCCCTAGTGTGCGACTCTAATCTTATTTTATTATTATCGGTTTATGTGATTCGATAGTTAAGCATAAATCCATACTTCTGCTTGTGCTGATCGAGGAATCGAATCATACCTCACCCTGTTGATTTGTCTTGTAATTTTACACTTACTCTTCATTTCGATTCTCACCTGTGTAAGTTAATCAGAATTGTCATCAACCTAAAATATGTATAATCACAATTTTTTTTATCATCTCATCTGTGTCGTTAATTAGAATTATCATGAACGATTCAAGAGTTTCAGACATAACGGATCAAAACATACAATCACATATTGAAAAGCAGAAACTGGAGTGGATAAATTAGAAAACAAACCTGAATGATCATGATTTTTTACCTCTGTTGATGCATTATCGCCTTCTGTTTTCACAGCCACACGACCCCACATTTTGTTTTAACGAACACCCAGTTCCAGTCACACTCTTTTCGCCCTGTCCATTTTTTTTTATGAGCAGGCAGAGGAAGGGATTTTTCTTTATCAGAGAAGGATTTCACAGACTGATTTTTTGCTGGAGCAGTATTAGTTTCACTCTTAGCCTGATGGCCAACGTTAGGGATTGGTTGCTGAAATCGCTTTTTTTCTGGTTTGAGGGCACTGTACCCTCTTGACAATTAAAGCCACTTTCAGATTGTACTGAAGTTCTCGCACTTTCAGTTCGCAGGGCTGTAACATTTGCGGTGGCTCCCTCTATATAACGCTTTACAAAAGAATTGGAGATGCTACAAACGCTGATACAAAAAAAAACAGACCTCTCTAGTTAGAATAGTCAAGGTTGGTCAACAGTACTAGACAGATTTCAAGCAATAACAAAAAAGGTGTACCTGTTGCCTCGCAAGCAATTATCAGTATCAGCAGGCTGCTTGAAGAGTTCTTCTGCTTGTACAAACTCAGAGATCCATATGGCTACTGGATCCTTTGGAATACTAGATTGAACATTGTATATATGAACTGAATATGTTCCATTGAACTCTTTCTCCACTTTTGTATAAAAAGTAATGACAGGGAAGTGTCAAATCGATAAATTATCTAGTACATTACATTCACAGATTATTTCCTAAAGATATAAGAAACAAAAATCATTGCAATGATTAACTACAGACAAAGCAGCATATTATCGGTAAAAGACTAGCAACACGAAAAGATACCACTATTAGCTTATCAGACAGGTGAAACCAAAAGGAAAAGGAGACAGCTAACTAAATTCGTATATTCAAGAGAACTATCTGCGATAAACACAGTCCTTGTACAAAAGACAGTCCTTAAAGATTAAGAAATATAAAAACGAATCCCCAAATGAGAATGTTACCTGGAAGTTCGGAGCTAGCAACGAGCCTTGCGAGGTAATCGGAAGGTTTGTTCTTTAACCACCCGGACAAAGTATATACAGCTTCCAAACCCCTTCCCGTGTTTCTCGACAAAATCCTTAAGTAACATAATCACAAATGAGTCACGGTTTTCAGAACAATAAACAGATCTTAAGTAGCCAAAAAGATAGTGAATTCCCAAGTAGATGAACAATGTACCTCTTGACAGCTTCTGATGGAATCGACTCAGCCGTTTGAAAGATACCTGAAACCAAATGGATTCATCGAATCAATAATCAATCAAAGTAACCCAAATTACTCAATTTCTACATAACAACTCCGAATCTCGGGACCGGCCTTGAAACTAATACGACAACAAACTACAAATAGCAGCTGCGGAATCAAACAATCAGCTCTATTCCGATTACGTTTTCAGGAGAGACAAACGAAGTTTCGACCAATTTCAAAACCAGTGAAATGGAAATCGAAACCCTAATTAGAAAAAGCTGAGGAATAGAGAAAACGGGGAAATTACCACTTGAAGCTGATCGGAGACAAGAGACTCGATTTCGATTTAGGTCATCTCTTCCGCTTTCTCTCAGATTTTTCTTCAGAGGCGATTGCTGAATTTCCCGCCAGACCTTTCGCGGTTGTTCTTAAAAAAAATTCATCGATCTGGATTGGATTCATTCTCCGGTAGCTCGTGCCACTCACGTGACATCGCGAGTTTTTATGCCGTTTACATTTTTACCCCTTTTTCACCTCTTTTTTTTTAACAGCGAACCTGATAAACTTGGTGATACGACGTACGACACTTTATGCACAAAACAGACTTTATTTATATTTTTAAATTCAAGATTCAAGATTTAAAATACAATGCGGATTAGTTCCCTAAATTCAAGATTTAAAACACATTTTCTAATTTTAATATCATAAGAAACATCAAACACCGATACTAAATATATGAACAATATTCTATATGGATATACTTTTCTACTTCCCTTCCAATAAATACAGAATCTCATCATATTAAAAGACAAGTACATTTGGTAAAAAACATTAACTCGATTGGTATAAAACTAATGATGAAAAAATCTACCGAATTTAAACATAAAGTACATTGTCTTTTGCCATTTTGTAACATCCTTTTAACTAATGATGAAGAAACCTACCGAGTTTAAACATAAAGAGTGGCAAATATGACTTGTGAAGTCGCCTTTTATCATTATTATTTTAGTAGAAGATTTTGGTGATATATATTTTCGTATCTATATACACACCAAACAAATGATAGACAAGAAAGATGAATAATTTATTTTAGATGCTCGGTTACAAGTTGTTTAACAAAATATATCTCCAACTTATACATAAAAATATCTTCTCTTTTTTAAATATTCCCAGGACCCCAAAATGTATCATATGTTTGACCTTAAACCGTGAATGTGTATCGTCTATCACTTTATAACCATGGGTATTATCTGAGAATGTCTCTGTATTATTTATCCGATCATCAGTCTTAAAATTCTCGTTGACCGTAGTTATATTACATATATATGCGTCGTAAAGAGGGTGCTTAATCGGAAAATTACCGTTTCCCATTTGAGGACTCGACATAAATGCATCATATACTTCTCTTCCCCACTCGACCTTGTTGGCAAGAGTTTGTTTAAATCTATTTTCTGGCCAAAATCCAATTTCTATTCTTTGAAACACGAACCACCAATTACCATTTGCCTTGTCCTTTGATCAATAGTCCCGTCAAAACAAAAATATATCACTATTACTATGAAACAAATCATATACATTTGTTGGGGAAAAGCCTAAGAAACTTCCAGAACAAATAAAAGGTTGTTGAATTTCTTATGTTTACGTGTCTGATTTATTACATACATTTATTTATTTTTCATTATTTTGTTTGATATAGGTTATATTGTTCTATTTGTTAGATAACAGTATGTCTGATTTATTACATACATTCATTAATTTTTTCATTATTCTGTTTGATATAGGTTATATTGTTCTATTTGTTAGATAACAGTTTGTGAAACATAACGCTTAAAAATAAATTGTTTAGCTATAAATATAGATAATTAGTATATCAGTCTCATAATTAGAAAAGAAAAGAAAAAATGAATAACTAACAAACCTTAAGTAAGGCATGTGTATTTATGAAACTATTTACACCACGAATACTAGTTGGGAGAACATGACCAAGAGGTATATCTGAACGAACCGATATGAATCCAGCTGGACACATGCTGTTATAACATTTATGTTCACCTGCCTGGATCATTTTATATATCGTTATGCCTATCGTACAAATATCTATGAGATCATTAATACATATGTAAGACATCCATATATGAATAATAAACTTACTTTCGTATACATAAAAAATCGAGGTTTGCTGTCAGAATATAACATTGGATTTACCTGAAATGTAAACATATTCAAGACAATAATATTATACACATACAAAATTATCTATTTATCAAGATTTGCTTTTAATATTATTTTGGCCATATGTCAAACTAATATATGTATACATGATTACAAACTTACAGTCCAACCCATTTGAATAAAATCATCTCCAATCTGAACATGCATACGACTAGAACTGTATTGTGGAAGTTTAACCTTTGGATCATTTATAGAAATCAACATTGATGCTCAAGTGTAGAATTTTCCTTGTTCTTCTTTGGTACGAGCCACCGCAAACTAATCATAATCACTATTTATTCAAAGTTTGTTTTATGTGTGATAGAATAATATATATCAAACTACTTATATATTTCATTGGATGGGAAAAAAAAAATATGCTACTTACATGATGTTGGTTACTATGAGTTTTAGATTGATTGTCAGTAAAGTTCCAAGAATCTTGAGGTTTATATATTGCAGAAAACGAATCTAATCTTACTCACTCGTCGTTAGTGACTCTCTTTATAGGTATAGTACCAATGGGACAACCTATACCGTTTTTCCACAAGTAACCAAACTTTTTGTTATTTATTTTTGAGCTTCTTGGGGTTGATGTATGACGCATCTGCATTTGAAAATAAATTATATTAATGACTTGATTAATATCTAACTCACATATATTAAGTATGATACATGCTTTGTAATGAATTGAATAATTTTTCATTGATAAATGGTCAAATCCTGGTTGATTGTAAAAATCCACATATCCATATGTATCGCCATATATAGTCTCATAAACGAAAAATATAAAATTAGTTTGTAATACAAGATCATGTGTCATATATTGTAATCAAGGTGAATATAAAAAATCTAAAAATAGTTAAGATAAAACTAAACAAACATTGATGATTTTAAGTTGTTCTTTAGTTTCAAGATTATCGAAACTTTGCGATGCCTTTGCATCCACCAAACAGTTATTGAGACTTGCCATCTTGTAGAAACACACTATAC